AAAAGTTAAAGCTTTTAACCTTTATTATATTTAATTAAATTTTCTTATTTTACTGGTATTTAATAAACAATATTAAAGCTATTTTCCATAATTAATCGAGTGTCCATTTCTTAAAACCATTCATTGCTCAATGTACATTTTCTTTCAAGTACAGCTAAACCTGTATACCTGCAGCAACCAACTGTAATTCGAATGGGCATTGCGGCAGATTCTCAGATTTCCTTTAATTTCAAATGTTCTATTCAATATACGTTTGTATTTGTTTCAAGTCCGCTAACATTCCCTCGGGTGTCGGATTCGCATCGAGGGGAAGGTGGGCTTAATTAGGAAATAATGCCTAAGCGATTAATCACAATACCCCTGCATGTGTCTGCTCTAGTCTCAGACGGTACCAAAGCGTTCCGCTCGAATATTTGGAAATCGGATAAGTTTAGGGATGGCTTGAAGTTATGTCCGTACCTTTTAGTCAAACAAAGGGTTTTCCAGGTAAAATTCTCGATATTATTTGCTTGACTTAACATTTATATTATTTAGTTTTTTCTTTAAATTGCTGCAAAATATCTCTTTTATCAGCTAAGTGTACAAGTAAAATAGTAAAGATTAGAAAACGGCAAACGACACTATACTCGGGTGACACAAGCTATAATTTTAGCGGGGATGTCGCGGTAATACAGCTAGTATGCTATAAATTATTAATCCTCGTGTTAGGGGATAAGTGTCAATTCAATAAACAAAGATATAGTGAGCAATGCATCTGTGTCAAGCGAAGTTTGTTTTAAGGGTTGCACCACCTCTCGTGTGGTCTTAAGGTTGATTTCCGAAGGGAAATAGGCAAGCGGCAGACGTGCCTGTTGGACTTGAAACTGTCGCGCTTCGTTTCACATCACCTTTCTATTTGGGTATTGTAAAAAGTCAAAGGTGAATGTTTGAGTTTAAATCGAGCGACTATATTTTTGCGTGTGTGCGAACAAATTCTGTTACTTGGGATTGAAATCGTTTTATATAAGAAGCTAACAGTGATAGAAGTACAAGGTTAAGGCTTAATATGAATGTGATACGATGCTCTGAAAAATAGTTTGTTTAAGCAACGCTAATTATTGTTGTTCTTGTAAAGTGTTATGACATAATTAATACTTAAGTACATTTAAATAAAAATCATACCAATAGCTACTTAATATATCATATTATTGCATTGTTTAGTAGGTTAACAAAAGGTGAATTAAATCAATATTTAAAAATTCTATTCTATTAGTACATATTCATCTGTATTATTTTCTATAAATTCAATCAAGTGATTCCTTAACTGACATAAATATGAGTATGTAAGAGTCAGTATGATTTTCAAATGGTAAAATATTGAAAATAAATTTTAAGGAACTATATAAACAGGCATCTAGCTATTGCGATCTTTAATTCATTACATAATTTGTAGTCGGATCAATTAATGTAATTTTTTAAAATAATCACAATGATTAAAAAAGCAATTAAACTTAATTAAGGATGTCAACGGGTATGAATTTACTTTAATATAATAAATCATTCTTATATTTCGCCTTTATTAATGAATACCACAATACACTATCAAAAGCTTTTGGTGGGAATTAAATGAACATAATTGGTAATACAAAACTGAGTGGGGACCGTTTCGGGACATACAAATTTTCCGCAAACCCTTTAATCCCACCGCTCGCTTATTTCACTTTGCCCCTCGTTGGCGGATTTGCCCGGCCTCCCCTTGCTCATAGTTGATGAAATTTCGGTGATGCCTCAAGGTACAGACTGTAAAATTCATGGTAAGCTTTTGATGCAATGTTTACGTAAAGAGGAGTGTAGGTAGTCACTTTCTTTCGCGAATGGGGCCTTCGGGATTAATTCGTACACGACGCGGTTTATTACTCACTTTGGATGCATTCACCATATGTGACTTACCCTCTCATATTTCGCTAATGCTAGAAGTAATTGGATAATAAAGTTTTCAAGAAGTTTTATTTAAGTTAAATGTCTTTTGTTTAGGATTTAATAATGTCAAGATTTTCCGTCTTTAAGACTTAATAAAAGTTTGGTCGGCATATCGATCGGCTATTCATATTCATTTCTAACGTTCTTTGCATTAACTTGAACATTAACTCTGCCATTATATTAACATTTATATCTATAATATATAAATTGTTGCTATAAAGCTTAAATAATAAATAAATATTTAAAAACTGGCTGAGCGCTATTGTTTCACCCGCGTAAATCCCAAATCGGTATACTACCTATATAATATTTGAAAGAGGAAAGATTTGAGTGTTTGTTTGCATTACATCTGAAGCAATTTTAAAAATTGGTAGCTACAACATACCCGGGTGACATAGGATATAACTTACGCGGGCGAAGTCACGGGGAAACAGCTACTTTGTAATTTATATATTAAATCACCAATCCCCGAAAGCGTACTTTTATACCTGTACAAAAAGTGTTTAGTAGTATTTTATAAAGAAGTAAAATCGTCTGACCAATTTCGTCTGGTAACTGAATAAACCTGTAGCCGAGTTCTGGGGACGTCTTCCTCCGGGAATTCAATACAAACTCCCCGGGTCGATTTGCATAGGAGATTCTGAAATCTATTTTAAATATATGTATAGGAATTCATAGCGTATGTTATCCCTTAGAGAATTTATTTCCATCATAACTATATACTGTGAATCGAAGCAGTATTAACCTTATTTTGATGGTCTTCCATACATACGTAATCGATCTGTTATTGCTTTGAGTTTACTTTATTTCCATTATGATAATATTTAGAATATTGTCAAAAATACACAAAGTGTATTTGTGATGTAAATAATAGGACGAGAATGTGATTTTTTTATTATAAAAGCAAAATATTTTTGTCAAAAAAACTTTTACTAGCTCTCCGTCACCGGCTTCGCCCGCGTAGTCTCTAGGGAACTGTCTAGTGGTATAAAAATTAGCCCAAAAAAAATTTTAACCCAAGCTTCGAATTTGATATAATAAATAATTTGGATAAGGTTATCATGACATGGATATACTTTGCTCTTTGACACGGATATAATTACAATGACAAATTTAATTAATGAACGAAATGGTTACTAGGTTTTAATTGACGAGGTTTTAACTCCCTACATTTTCCAATCCGATTTTCATACCTTTATTCGAGATAAAATAAAGCATACATTCACCGCATATGATGTAGCTTCCCGTAGGTGAATTTTTAAAATCGGTCCAGTAGTTTCAGAGCTTATTCGATGCAAATAAACAAACAAATCTTTTCTCATTATAATATCAGTATATATGATCGTGTTCATCTTTAAGTAGTCAAGCATCAACATAAGTATCTGTACTCACTGCAACCTAAAAGATCTATTGTGACTCACAATATTATATTAGGCTGAAAAGTGTAAAAGCATCTAAAAAGTCTATGATATACCTAACTTTTGGAGTTTTTATGTTTTGTGGGGTGTTTTTTTTTTTATCCCAGACCTATGTTTCGTTTGTGGATCACAGGAGTATTGTTTACAAACAGGAGTATTATTAACAATATCTGAAAATATCATGTGAAATTGATGTCTGTTTAATTTGCAGTATCCAATTCCTCCTACCTAAATATGCAGTGGAAGAGAAAAAAAACTAGACTTCCTACTCGAATTTACTGTAACGAATTCGAATAAAACAGATGAGACGTTGAGTTTAACTTTATTCAAAAACTTAAAGATGACAATAAGAAAGAGAAGCGTGTTCTTCATTTCTTTTTAATGCTTCCAGACGCATTTTCAAGATGAAAAACTTTACATGATGGAGGGAGGCAATACGTGCATGGAATACTTGAGGGATTGTAAAAAATTCTATGTACCCTTCAAAGGGATTTAACTTGTATTACAATGAACAATTGCAATGTGACTCGCTACGTCTTTCGAATGTTTATTTTATAAGGCGATTTTGACGCACTTGCTTATTTGTGGATGGCGGAATACATAAATTTCAACACCACTAGTAGTAACCATTGGTTGGAATTGAAGGAAAAAAGTTTATATATAATACAATTTTTATGCCGTTAATTTTAAGATTTATAGGCTTATGTCGGTTCATCTAATGAAACAAATTATCTACTTTAATTTGTGGCTTACGTAACGTAGCGGAGTTTCTGCTCCATCACCCGAATTATATTCAAACAGGTCTTAAGATTATATTTTACTAAATCTACATCATTTAAACTTGAATAAAACTCTTTTCTGTTTTAACGACCCGACGATGATAGCCAAATTTTCTAACCCCTAATGACATCATAATTCAGTCAACCATTTTGCTCGGTCATAAACCTTCTCCGGACTTTATTTATGGACTGGCTAAGAAAGAAATAATGAGGATATTCCCAAGCTTAATAAACCTCTGCTGTACTAGGATGGCAAAATCCCTGTCATAACGAGACGTGCTCACATGAATAGGCACCGGTACTTGAAATGAAGGCATAGATGTATACTGTAATGAAGATAGCGTTCACGCGATAGTACTTGGCGACCGACGTCATTGCCACTCAAATAAAGTATAATAAAAATTTGAGTAGCTCTGCCTTGCTCCGACGTCAATAAAGCTTTGATGGCTACTTATGTAAAACGCTGCCATTGCACTGACTCTATTTGAATGTAATAATGCTGGTACTTGTATGTACATCTACATGTATTACTTGGAGATTCGAGAATCATCATAATTTAATCCTAAAAGATATTGAAATTATGTTAGCTTTACTAACATCAGTTAGCTTTAAAAAAAACCATCTAATAGACTTATTCCTACCTTTATCGACAGCTTATAAAATTTCAAAACAGTGCATTTTGTAAGCTTTTCTTTATAAATAAAACTATTTTTACAGTTAAGATCCTGTAACTAGTAATAATTGAAGTATATTATTTTATATAAAATACAAAATCAATATCATCATCACTCTCGATCTCAATCATATTCAAAATTATTAATTCATATTTTTTATTTGTTCTCAGGATGTTCATCACAGACCTTGAGGATATTTCCGAATCAAAAACATCAGACTGTTGCAGTAGGCAAGTCGGTGGTGCTGACCTGTCAAGCAGATGCACCTGACCCTTCACTTGTTACGCAGCACCAATGGAAAGATCCAAAGGGAATGGTTATTAATGATGCGGCGTAAGTAAATCATGATCTATACTATTAAAAAAAACATTTTTGCACTTGAAAGTTTTTTTTTTATTATTTGAATAATTTATTATTCTAAGTTGAAGGGTATATGCGAAAATTTGTTACCAGCTTACTGCTAAATAATGTTTTAAAATTATTGGTTTTCCAATATAAATGAAATTTTAATGGGCTCGAAATTCAAGGGCGCTTTTATTCTAATTATTTTCATTTATATAGTTTTTTGAGTTTTGCTAAGAAGAACTGCAATGGATCAGCTGCTTCGTTAGAGTCTTGATTGGATGTATTTAATAAAGTTAAATTTTTTAGGAGTTCGGGAACCCGACCTGAGATATATACAGAGTTAATGCCAACTAAGCAATCTCAATTGCTTTACATTTCTTCGATCACGCCTGCGATGGCAGGGAACTACACTTGTGTGGCTGCCTACACCAATATACCACTTAGTGCCAGCGTACTTTTAGAAACTTTCGGTAATAATAAAAGACCTTATAAATTATTGATTTGACAATGTAATTGTGAGCTCAATCTTAAAAAACAATTGCTAGCATTCTAATGTTTCCTCTTTTTAACATTGACCGTAAACAAGTATGCGTTTACCAAGAAAATACACGATCACCTCAAACTTCTGTCACGAAAACCCAATTGAATTTAAAGTTGTGTTATTTTTAGTTGCAATCACGTGGACGAACGCCAATGAGAATCAATATGCGACCAAAGGAAAAGATTTTAAAGTGATGTGCGAAGTGACAGCTGAACCTGCGCCTTCAGTTGATTGGTTCAAAGAAGGGACACCGGTAAATAATAACAATTAACGTAAATTTATTCTTATACAATTGTTCCTTGAAATAATTTGTTTTAAAATCTATGCATTATTATTTTAGATATTGACTGGTGATAGATACGTTATACATGCTAACGGTCTACTGATAAAAAATGTTCAAGAAAGTGACGATGGAACTTATACTTGTCGAGCCGTAGTTATACCAACTGGCGAATTAGCCGAAAGAAATATTAAACTCGAAGTAAGTATTGAAAAAAGAGTATCATGAAACATGATTAATGTTACTGGATTATATCATGCCTAATAATAAATATGTGTAGGTATATACTGCACCAGAAATGGAAGAACGTGAAACAAGAGTCGAAATTAAAGAGGGTGATTCAGCAGCTATTACCTGCAAAGCTAACGGCAAGCCTCCTCCAACTTATGCTTGGATTAAAGCCTCTACGAGAGAGGTAAGCGTGTTTAGAAATATGTTTGAGATGTATCTTTTTTTATTTCGTTTTGATAACAATGGTTGGATTTTGCATTTGTTTTAGAACTTGGCGACCACATCGAGATTTAGTGTGAACGAAAATACAGGGTTATTAACATTTGATAGAGTTGAGGCTAGCGATTACGGCAAATATATTTGTAGTGCAGTCAACAAAGCTGGGCAAAACGAAACTGAAATAGAAGTTGAAGTTCTTGTACCACCGAAAATATTCGAGCTATATAACACTACTGCCCCAGAGCGAGGAGAAGGAAGATTAGAATGTAAAGCTACTGGAAGACCAGCACCTCGTATTAGCTTTAGAAAATTGAGCAATCCTGAACGTTTCTTGACTGGAACGAATGATGACAATAGGTATAGCTTTCCTCATTATTACCTACACATAAATTAATTTTAAAATCATCATTATATTCTTAATGAAAAATGCCTTATAAATCCAGGTACTCCGAGCCACGTACCCACGAACTTTCGCAATCCGTGCGACTGATTGCGAAAGTTCGTGGGTAGGGAATGTGGATTTTTTAAAGTATTTTACATTAAATATATTTTTCAATATTGCATTGTAAAAATTGATCGAATATAATTATCACTACTTATGCTATTTACGTGAGAGTTGAAAATTAAAGTAATTATATCAATTTTCAGAATCATAGTTGAAACCGCGGAAAGACAAACGGGAGATCAAATGCAATCTAGTGCTGTGATTACTATTACAAACTTGAATCGAACCGATGATGGCCTCTACGAATGTTTAGCCGAAAATGATGGTAAGTTTTGTATAATCATTAATTTATTTGTACGCAATCACAGCTCAATATGTTAACTATTATATTCCTTTTAAATTATTTAGGTGGGGAAGCAAGAAAGAACGGACATTTGACGGTTCAATTCAAACCGTCCTTTGCGCATATGCCTAAAGCCCCGATTTGGAGTTGGAATGGTCAGCCTGTTAACATCAGTTGTATTGCAGAGAGTATACCTAATGCCACAATCAAATGGAAGTAAGTTATAAGTAAACCAAAATAAACGTACCAAAGACTTATTTTCTTAATTTGATGTTAGTAATAAGGTATTATGTTCACATATACCTATTGAACATCTGTTTTTAATTTTTGTTTGTTTTTTTTTTTACCTTTTTATACAATAAATAAAATATTATTCTAGGTTCCAAGAATTGGACTTACTTGAAACACCTCATGTTAAGATTTTCGGTTCTGGTCCGATCAGTTACGTTACGGTTATACCGACTGATCGCCATCTCTATGGTAACTATAAATGTATAGCAACGAACACGCTCGGTGAAGCAGAACATATCACTCAATTGCGGGAAGCCTTCCCTCCTGGCCAAGTAGTGCAGGTGACGTATAACAAATTTTCCATTTACGAGAATGTTGTCAATATTGTATAGCAGAATATTAACTATTTGGTCCTTTATAACTTGTGCACGTTTTCAATTATGATAATTTGAAATCTAATTATGTTATCAGATAGTTTTACTGTAATAGAGAACATGATAACTATGTCATAATAATGTGTCTTAAAAATATATATTTTATTAAAGGTCCGACAAGATGTGTTAACAGCGACTTCTGTGTCATTCAATATTGTTGGCCCAGCAGAGGACATGGGCCCACCGATCCTAGCATTTACTTCGCAATACAAAGAAAACGGCAATTTCGACTGGAACCTTGCTATGAACAGAACTTGGTCTGTGAACTCTCCGTATATTGTCGAGAATCTACAGCCGATGTTCACTTACGACTTTAGATTCGCAGCAGTTAACCAGGTCGGGGTCGGTGCATGGGGTGCCCCAATTACGGTCAACATGCCTAGGAGGTAACAGCCAGCAATCAAATTCGAATTTAGTCTGACGATTGTCAACGATTACTTGTCATTGTAGCTACATCATATACTATTTACTTTTGATGTATTACTTTCTAAAAACCCATTTCACATGATAATTTATGATCTTTCACATTGTGACAGTATAATAAGTTTTACTGGCATTTTCTGTTATTTCGTTTTAGCTTGAAAACAAATACATAAACAGTGATCTTGATAAGAAATGACTTACGCACCTACTCATTGACTAATTTATTTTTAAGGTCAGTTCCAGAACAGCCTAAGTGGAGAGAAGATATAAGCTCGGAATCGCTTTTACATGGAAAATATGCAGATAGGTACGAATTGAGGTGGAAGATACCTGCGCATAATGGGGAGCCTATTGACCTATATGAAGTCAGTTATTGTCCGGTAAGTTCTAATAATAAATCATGCTTAATTATAGGTGTAGGCGATTGGCTGGAAAGCCATCCTTTTTATAGTTTAACAATATATATAATTTTCTTTTGATTTATTTTGTTCTTTGTTTTTGGCTCTATCATTTTCATTGTCGTTTTCCTTGTAAGCAGTGATTTGTAATTTCCTTATATAGTATAGTTTATCTTAAATCGATTAGTTTGTCAATAAACAGTCCTCATTCCCACTAGCTATCAATATATGTTACTTCTTTTTATAGATTTTATGTTTGTTATCATATTTGAGAAGTTTGAATAAGATTAAAGACAAAATTTAGAATTCTCCTGGTAGTTTTGGTAACTAATAATGTTTGCATAAAACATGAGATTTCATGACTATACAAAAGACACAAATATCGTCGATATCAACTCGCTTTCTCTCATAGATATTCCTGTATATTTCTGTAAAATACGTCATTTGTTGGTAAAAAAAAAAGAAAAAACGATGGAGCTATCAAGATAAAATCGTACTATTAATAAATCTATCTATAATTCCGTTGTCTTAGGTACTGAAAGTGAGCGGTGAGTGGAGAGTGTCTGCAGAATCTCAATGCCAAACAGAGGAGCTTAAGACCTCGGAGTCGATAACCTATGAAGTTAGAGGCCTCCAACCTGACACCCGTTACCGAATGCAAGTCCGAGCTCACAACATCCTTGGCTACTCCTTACCGGCTCAGCTTTACGTACAAACTGCTCTCGGTGAGTACAATCAAGAGAGTAATGAAGTCCCATTGAGGGCTGGTTTCTACGATGTCTATACTGCCCCGTACCCTCTAAAACCATCCTCCTCCAGTAAGATCTCTTTCATGTTCAGTTCCTTAGTGTCCGTGGTTTTGTGTTTTGTTTTGTGAAATGTGTTATTTGATTGTGTTAGTGCTCATAGCGTTTAAATGTAATTTCCATTCTCTTGATAATTTTTATCATTCAACATTTTTGTATAATTTAATTAATTTTTCGTTTTAACTAATGCAGGTTCATTATGTGTACCTAGGCTGTAAAATAATGCAAATCAATGCGTATGTATCATTTCCGTTTCGGTTATTTTGTTTTTATACATTGACTCCAATTTTGTTTAATCTTGCCTATGAGTCATACGCTAACTAGTGTATTTGTAATGTAACATATACTAAATAGTTTGTATATTTTTTAATGATTTAATTTCATTAGAAATTAGTGTACAAGTTTTATTTATTTGATACTCGTATGTTTTAATTACTATGATATCTAAAGTATTAATTAGTTATAATTTTATGATTTAAGTTCAATAGTTACGCTTTAATTTTTTTCATTATTAATTTCTGATCGATGGACTTACATATTTTGGTTAGTGTTAATTTATTATCAGGCATGGTGAGTTTTTGTGTTATAATTTTATTATTCGTGTATTTTATTTTTCCTTTATATTGATAATATACGTATTGTGTGTATTTACTTTTAATATATTTTCTAGGTAACCCAAACGGATGTTCTCGATTATTCAGAAGGGCTCACAATACCATCAAAATTATGACTGCTTTATATTTAACTTTCCACTCTTTTATATAATAAGTAATAGTGTTTAATTAAGAAATCATAGGTATTGAAACGACTTATCTAACGAGTCCAAAGGCGACTGTTGTTATTTAGGAGAAAAAGGAATACTTGTTGTGATAAAATTATTTTGTTGAAATGTAAATAATTAAAATGAATTGTTTACCAAGCCTAAAATTATATATATGGTTTGTAAGAGAAATTATATTATTTATTTAGAATTTACCAATACTTTCAAGCAATACAAAAAAGCAGCCAAAAATTCTCACGTTTTGTATACATAAACTACGCTAATTAATAATTATTGCATGGTGAAATTAAAAACTGTGAACTTAGGTAGTTTGTCTGTAATAAATTAACACTGCCAAAGTAATTAATATTAAATAAGATATGCCAAAAGTAATGGCGTTTATGGATAAAATTCTTAGTGAAACATATAAAGAGGTGTAAGCATGTGTAAGATTTTTTGATGACTATTTTGAACTTTTGATAGTAGATTTAAGTATTAGCCTAAATTATGGAGAACGTCGTCCAAATAAAGAATTGTATAAGATGGCATATGATATTGATTACGATTTTATAGATTAAAATATATGCGGGGATAAAATCAATGAAAGTACTATGTAAAGAGTTCTACAACAGCGGAATTCCAATTGTGATCATGTTATAGGTGAAGATAAAATTGACCAATGTGAAAAGTAAATAAATGTTTCAAAAACATTATCGGAGTTATCATCATTATTTAAAAAAAAATGAAATATTCTTGTTATAAGCTGATTGATTCATTTATTTGGATGATTCGTGGAGAATATTTCATTTAACCTTGGAATGTTACCCAACCTAACCTTTAAGACAATGCTCATGATGAACAGTGTCCTACTTACCTATGAGTAATAAAATAACTTTGTGAGCCCAAAAAAGAAAGATGTCAAGATGCTAATGAAGAGGTGAATCCTAGTCCTCTAAATGTTGCTCCTTTGAAAAGTGTTTGTGGCCCTGTCTGTGATCTGGGTAAATATATTTTATATTAATATACTGTTTACCATTAATGCTCCCCTGCATATCCTTAGAATTGTACTAATGAATATTACCTCTTATGCTGCATGACCCTATGTGTACACCTTCAAATGAAACTTTGTTCACTTTACCACTAGCATGGTTAACTAACTTTGAATTAGAAACAGAATTATAATATATTATTTTATTTGTATCAGGTCTTTCATACATTTGTCATATTAGATGACATCCAATTTCGTTTATTACATTTTTAATTTATGTATTTTCTAGATATTTGAGCATGGCAACTTAGATTTTGATACTGCCAGTCATTTATAACACTAGAAAATTGAAGTTCCATTGGCAGTGTCATATAATAATAGGTCCGGAGAAAACATTCTTAGATATTTGTTTTTTGAAATGATTTTATTTAGAAACCTAAATGTTTTCGTTGTTTCATCTAATCATTTCAAGAAACACCATATACATAGATAGGAAACTTGTAATATTTTTCTAGGGAAAATAGGTTAAGGTGATGGTACAGTTAAATCCAATGTGGAACAGTAGATACATATATGTTGTGTAATTCATATTATTGTTTGTATTTTCTAGATCCCCATATTGCTTTGGATAGATCCGAACTTTTTGTGATGGGGTTTGAACAATTATTTTAGTTCATTAATATATTTATGAAGTCATCCGGAATGTTTGCATCTTGACAACTTTTCTTTTTTATATTAGCGATTATTATTCTCGATTTTAAGACATTTATGCATCATTCAAATCTTCATCTTCATCATGTGCCAATGCTTCATTCTCATTCAAACCCCATTTCATTTTAGCGGAGAGCTTTCTATCTGAATCTACTTCATCTAAATTTTAAATTTACTGTCTTGTTATAGAAGTCTATGAGCTGGTGATTGGGTGCACGTTATGTTGAAATGAAAGCACTCCCTTGTCACCTGAAAGATTGTAATGGATGTCTAACTGTTGCTTATAAGAGTATATTCTCATCTTGAATCACTATTTGAGACGCACAAGTGCTACTTTGCATTTGTTATCAACCACTGTCATGTCATCTAACATCTTCAGCTTCTTTGACATGATGCATAAAACTAACAAATTTAAGATCAGTAGAAACCATGAGTAATAAATTGATTTTATGAATTTAAATTTAAAAAAAAATTAACCTTTTTGAAATCAGTTTCTGCTGGTCTTGTTATTATATATGCTAAGTACCAATATTACAATGACTCCAATATCAACAGGTGTGAAGACTTCAGGATTTGCTCCACCACAACTTCTTTCGAGTGGTGCTATCATTGGAGTGGCGCTAGCGGGTGTCTTCATATGTCTGATCATAGTCGATCTCATACTATTCTGCTTCAAACGCCAAGGTGTGATAGCAACTATCTGCGGAAAAAGAACCAAGAAGCACCAAGATGACGAAGCGAAACTAGGAAGGTAATTTCAAAGACTAACTTTCTTGTTTACATATCTAATATTTGATTATATATTAGCACATCATCGGCATCCTAATAAAAAAGATCTCGTTCATTATCTTCCTTCTTGTCTTGGATTCCCGTTTTGTTGTCCTCCGTGTTAAGTGTTAGTGTCGATGAGAGATGTTTCTGCCCGCTAGTCTGTACGGTTGGCGCTTCCCGCTCCCTTATTGCAGCACGAAGCCGCGCGCGCCGCCATCCCCCGCGCCACTGCCTCCACCCGTGAAGCTCGTGCCAACTCCGACGTAAGGCACCAAACAAATTGACTGCGTGCATGCTTTGTTTGTGCGGACGCTCTGGTACTGCCCCTGTGAGGACAAATCACGGGCCAGTTTATACCCAATATTTTCATTAACCACCGAAGATCAACGTAAAGTATAATTTAACCTGATTCACTTTCAACAGAGGAAGGTATATTTCACAATTGACTTCGCTGGGGTTGACCTTCGTATAAATAAATGCCAGAAAGCTTTGCAGAGCATAATGTAAATATGGCTGTAAGAATTAGCACACCAGCTTTTAAAGTTAATTTCGTTGTAAGTTGTAGTTATAGATTCGGTGTTGATTTTTGGGAGTTCGCTTTGTACAGCCTTTCGTGAGAAGTAATTTTGTATATCAAAAAAATTACCGATGAGGAAATCTTGTTAAGGGACGAAAAATCAAGGATTGTACTGATTTAATACGTAACAGGATTACAATGTCGAGTGAGTTCTGATTGCTTGGAACATCTCTTACGACTTCATTTTGATAAACTATATTTATAATATTGTGTTGATTTTTCTTTGTCATCTAACCATTTTATTTTTAACATTAATGTCATGGGTATGGTTTTTATTGAATGTATGATAATTCCTTGCACACACATCACTAACAAATTAACATTATTTTTCCCAATGCTGCCATCTACCGGTCACATATTAGCTATGTTCCAACCACGCCAGTGTAAGATCATTTGGATATTTATAATTTGTTATGTGTACTCTCAAAGATTTGCTTTTGTGTATGTTTTGCCGCTTTGTATGAATTTTGTTAAAAGTTATTTTTTGCATATAGTTTGATTTAGTAAAATTACCACGTAATTAATTACGAAAAAATCGGAGTCATCAACTATTTCTCGAGCATGTAATTAAATCTTATACGCCAATATTTCAATTTCGTACTTATCGAAAGTAAGTTTCAAGTATATAATTTGGACCTCTATTTAAATTAATCTCGTGGTAGGTATAAAATGTAACTGTAGAATGGTAACAAAAGAGTCCTTAAAAAACCAAAATACTATTAGATTTTCGTTACTGTGAAAATGAAGGTGTATGAGTTGTGTTGATCATTTTTTAGACTAAGTAAAAGTATGGTCAGCCATTGACACAAAATTGAAAATAATATTTGAACTAAAGGAACACATTTTTCTAATGATTTTAAAAGTGACACTAATAAACAGTTTATTAAATGATTATCATTATCAGCTCTTTTACGTCCCCACTGCAGGGGCTCGGGCCTTCCTTATGGATGGTTAAGGAGAATGGGCAATGACCCTTCACGCTGGCCCAATGCGGATTGGAGGGTATTAACGACTGCAAATATAGCCGGGACCAACGGCCTAACGTGCCTTCCGAAGCACGAAGTAGCTCGAGATATTAATTTTTTGGTCACCCATCCCTTGACCGACCCTTGCGAAAGTTGCTTAACAACAACGATCGCGGGCCGCGGCGCTTATCCTCTACGCCACCGAGCTACTCATTAAATTATTATACCTACTTCATAATAATAATTAAATGATTATGAAGTATGTAATAAAGAATTCTCTTTGCGTTGCTCAGACCACTGTAAAATCTAAAAGAGTTGTAATGGCAATTCCATGCTTTTACAGTCCTATTCCATATTTAGCTTTTCTCAAAATTAGTTTCTGTGTAAAGCTTAGTACCTACTTGGAAAATCACTCTTAAGGTAATGGTGGTTAATGAGGTTCATTATTTTTGATCCTAGGAGTAAAAACTAATTATAATATAGTTGAATGTTTAAAAACAGTCCCAAACACGGCGTTGACCTCAGTTCTCAACCCTTTATTACCTTTTGAAATAGGAATTATTTATTTGATTGAACCTCTTTGCGTTGCGTCGGGCGTCGACTTCGAGAATAGAACTGCTGTAGTTGCTTAAAAAGAATCTTTTGTAGAAGTGGGCCTTTTTAAGCAGCATTATCTTATAATTTCTAGTTGTTCCATTTGCTTGTAAATATCTTGCAGTATTTTAAGTATTCTAGTAAATGGGTGAAGTTTATTTCAAACAATTGTAAATAATTACACTTTTATTTCTTATTTGGATTGTTTAAAGTAAGCACTGTTAAGTTTCTATCCCATTTGCTAAATAAGATTTTCGTACACGACAATATTTTTTCCTATTTTGGGAAACATGGTTGTGCGTGTTCTGATATTTGTAAATAGTATTCTAAAAGAATATAAAAAATTTACTTTATTCCCACTACTTTTAAAGATTATCTTAGACTATTATATATCCTTGAGTCTTACTTATTCTTTAGCACTATATTTCAAAGTATACTTTGTGGTCAAAATACCTTTGGATACCACTCATGAAACAGTAGAACTGTTATTAGGTCGTATTTTCTGAAAATTTTTGATCAATTGAATTGACAGAAATAGTGGGAATAATTAAAAATAAATATAACAAATGGCGATGATAGTTTTTACATGTGCAGGGATGAAAAGGAGCCACTCAAAGACACTTCAGAGGATGCGATTAAAAGAAATTCTTCTGTTGAATTCGATGGAAGACGCGTATACGCTACCAGCGGGGGTCCTATCATAGGAAAGAATTCTGCAGTTTAAGGAAGACAAATTAAAGATGGTTCACCGTTTCATCTTTTTGTATGAAAAAAGAGTGAGAAAGTATAATATTCTTGTGAAATTTTCTTAATCCAAAAATTATCATTTAATCTGATGTGAATTAAAAATTTATGAGGATATTATATATTTCTCGAACAAATGAAATATCAATGATCATTTGTATAACGTAATCGGATATATTTGACTAAATATGGAGCTTTATGTATTGGTGATTAGCGCGACCAGTATTCGAAACTGCCAAAAGAGAATTTATTAATTTACACAAATATAATCTCATTATTCATTCGGATACGTTCATAGTGTCATATTCCATATTCACCATTTTCATCCCTGTCATTTCAATAGAATGTGCGTGAAACAGAAATACGCCTTTGAAAAGTTTGAATATAGAATATGACGGAGTAGGATTAAATATAATAAGTTGCGTCTATTATTAAACTCTTTTGTGAAATTTCAAAAAAGTTTATTTCGTATCATTTGCGTTTAGTTTTTTAATTAGCGTCAGAGGTACAGCATGTGCCTTTTAGTAATTACATCTTAATGAGGGTTTAGAATAGGCTCATGTATATATACAAAATAGGATAATACGCTACGCCTCGGGTCACAATTTACAAATATTTAAGCATCACCTATCTTATAGACTTTCAAGGACGTTAAAATTCGAATTAAAATAGGTTCCGAATTCTTTTCAAAGCGGTAGATAATAAATTTTAAAAAGCAAAAGAATCATACATTAGTTTTTTTTTTAAATTGGAAACCAGCTGTTCTTAATTCAAATACAGATTCCTAATTTGACTAATTGTAAGATGTGATTGTTATAAGATTTGTTGTGTAGTTTCTGTTAGTATTTAATAATGGATAAAACGTCTAGATTTGGATTTAACTTATATATCTACTTTTGTTTGAAAACTTTAATATTAATACCTAGTCTGCAATTATTTACCTATATGGTAAATGTTGCGGATCAATTAATACATAAAATTACGTTTCTTTTATATAAAGAACATTATGAAAGCTTCCAGTTGCTTAAACATATGTGATTTACATTTATGGTTATCATTGTATCTAAAACACACCTCTAATGCAATGAACCTCTTTACGTAAGCTTTGTATGAACTCACCGAAATAAGTCTATCAATGAAACCTATACAATTTAGCTCGAAAAACTAATAGCAATTCAACAATATCAATATAAATCAAAGATTTGAAAACTCTAATAAGAGTCACCTCGTATAGATGATAAAATCTAATTCATTAATCACATTATAGTCTTAAGGCATGTAAATAAAAATTTTGTAAATATAATTATTTTTCGCTTTCCTAAACGTTTAAGTTTGAAGCATTCAAAATAGTTAAAATCATTAAGTTTAAGTTAAAGCATTTCCCATAATTTAATACCGTACAGTCATGTTAAAAATAAATTAAACCTAAATATTTAAGTTTATAAATATAGGACAAATTATAAGTTACTTAAGTTATAATTATAGAGCTCGCTTACTTTAAAGTATAATTAATTGTGGAGTATTAGTTATTTATTATTTTTTATCGAACAATAGGGTTTGTTCCTTTACTATATAAGTAGAATTATACAGTTTAAGTGTTTTATACAGTCTAATACGAGTACTAATTGTATAATGACATAATATAAAAATATTGTATGTTTTTGTAACGTCGCTTCATATTTTATACTGATGAACGTTTTCTCTTGATATTATTAAGTACAGTGATCAGCATGGTACTATATAAGACCAAATTCCTGCATTAGATTTTAAGTCTCAATCTTTTAATTGTTAGGTTCATAATTGACTGTTGTCCATTTGGCCTTCCGTTGTAACTTGATGAGATGCTGTATGTATGTTTATAACTTAGTCATTGTTTTTAGAAAATTAATAGCTGTCCAATGAATTTAAAAAGGAAAGGAGATGTGACCGTATTGCAAAACTTTCAGCAGCTATGTATTGTTCTTAACATTTCCTTTTTATTCTATTCTTTTTTATTAAAAAAACAAAAAACTTTCCTTTTTGTTGTTGCCAGTATATTTATACCCGGTCAACGAGATCTGAAGTTATTTATTGAAGTCTGATTGAAATAATTAAGTATTACGATTCATAATTAAAACGCTTGTACGTACTTTACTGTTTTATATATAACACGTAATTTTCCTTAACTAGATGTTGAATTTGATGTTTATAGACCTTTTTTAATTGATCATACCGTGTAACTAGATGATGTTTATGATATCAAAAGAATCTTACAAGATAATATAAGCATTGAACTCTACTGTATATTACAGTATTAAGTTCGATTCGTTACCAAGTTGACCTACTGATTTGTCGTTGACTATGTCGCTGATCTTGCAGTGAAGTTAGTACAAGCGTTACAATAATTCATTTAGTACATCATATTCCTAACGGACCAAAACATCTAATGAAATATCTTCGATAATAAATTTATAATGAATTTACTATAAACTAATTTGTATCGTTGATAAGCTTTCACTATTGCGTATACATGTCAAAGCTTGAATGTATGTTATAAATCTTTTTCTATTGGCTTTGAATAGTGGAGAATGGAATTATATATTGAGATGCGCATTTTTTATAAAATAAATGTCTCAAGAAAGTTTCGTGCTTTTATTTTTAACCCCTTTCTATAGTCTTTTCAGAAGTGCTATTCGCAACTTCGAGCACAGCGCTTTCATAGTATGGAGGTTCAATAAAATTAAACTTTTAATTAGTTTTTAGTTTTTCAATAAGTTATTTCCTTTTTTTTTTGTATAACTATGCCTTCTAGATAAATAAAAATATAATGAGATAATACTGGTATAGAAGCTCTATCCTGTGACCGCGCTGTGCCCGACGCCCAGTTAAAGGCTGATTTTATTATAGAATAGCAAAGGCAGAGCTCCAAAAGGAAAAATGGGACATTTTATGTAAGTGTAGTTATACTACACTCAGTTGTCTATCTAGTCGCTTGTTTCTTACACATTATTTGCTTTAAAAGTAGTACAAAACGACAGAACAATTATAAACTAGTGACTAAGACGGGTAAGTAAACACAAGTGACTACTTTGGGGGTAATTATGAAAAAAAAAATGGTGTTAAAATTTTTTCATTCCCATTCGTAGCTATTCATAATGGACTTTTTTATCTATTAAAAAAGCATTATACAATTGTCAAAAAGGGTGTTTTCATACAGAACGTTTACGGTCCGTTAATTTAAATTAAAGCTGTCCGCGGACAAAAAAATAATATTTATAGGGACGCCCAAAAAATTTGTCGACAAAGAAAATAGATTTATGCTAGTTAGTACGGTATATGATGATACGGGCTTAGTGCACTAGTTATAATTCTTGCAATTCACGATTGCTTGTTTACGTTCTTATTACTTTGTATTAGAGTTTAGTTTTGTTTATGCATATGCGTGGAATGTAGGACTATACAACACGTCGTGATCCTTTTGTGGGGGTTGTGTGGGGTCACGCCCGCAACTTTATTATAACAATAGAAAGAATGTTGGGCAACAACAATATGTCATATTAGTTACAGTTCGACATGAGTTTAGTTGGTAATAATGCAGTTTCATTTAATTTTTTTTATAACAAAATATTAATTTAAATGTCAAAATAATTCATTATTTTCTGTACTGTACATTTATATGTTAAATAAATTTATTATTATCTAGCTCTTGCTTGTTGCTTCGTCTGCGTTTAAGTTTGAGGTTAAATCATAGTTCATATTTATATGCCATAGGATTTTCCATATTTATTTGGAAATATTCTTATATCTGTTTCCGTTGAGGGCGCGTTCACAAAAATGTGCGCCCTTAGCGGTACTTATATCTCTAGGGAACCGTTTAATGGAAAAAAGTAGCATATAATGTTAATCCACACTTAGAATAGAAATAATGAGTGGGTTAAAAAATAACTATTTAGTCCATCAGTCAGATAATAGAAAAATATTATATACGTATTTTTTTTAATTCAACAAGTAACGGCTTAGATAATAGGCAATATAGTTGAGAAGTCTGGGCTTGCTACGTAACAGCTGTATAGAAAAGCGTGACGCCACGCGACATTCAACTCAATGTTTTGCCATAATTTTTTTGATTACGTAAAAATTAAAAAAAGACGTTTTTAAAACTCTTCAATAATTTACCTGACGCACATACAAAAATTAAGCACAAATCCATCCTGTAGTTTTTTAACTTTTGCGATATATTTGTGCGAAATAATATTAGTGCGAAAATAAAAGTCAAATTCTCGTTAAAACTAATTAAGGAGGTAAGAAAAAAATCATTTCAATTATACCGCGTTTCATCTAATTATATCCCGATTTCAATTTGAAGAACCGTAGTTTTTCGAAACATTTGTAAAACATCGATATACATCATACATCACTGCTCAGTTTCACGCTGTTGCTAAAGCTATGCGTCACATCTCCAGGGGTGCAGTGCAGTCAATCGCCGCGGTTTAATATGAGCAATGGACACGGTCATAGTGTGACGCACCCCGTGTAATTTATGGTCTAAGTTAACGTAGGGGCCGCATGCTTGTCGAGTCTTACAGGATATCAGTTGGTACTTTGATTGTCGATAGATTTTGTATTGGTTTTATTTTTGTAAAATTGATTTAATTTTTATACTTAAGCTTATTATAATAGAAATAATTTTATTTTACTTAAATCTCAATTACTCTCTTCAATAAAATAAAAAGGTAATTTAAACAGTTTAGTTTTTAAATCTACATAATAATATATGTTAACGGATATTTCTATTTTTTTTTAATTAATTCATTATAAGAATCTAAAGTATAATTTTAATCTCTCAAACTAAAGACTCAAATTATGAGTACATTTTTTTTTCAAAAACACAATCTGCCAATACTACTAAATAGATATTGTAGTTTCGAAATTTCTACTAACTAATCTATAGATTTAATGGTTTTTGAAACTTATAAAGACATTTTTTGTTTTATATTATTGTGCTGCTACAACAGTGACACTATTTAATTTTCTTGTTGAGTTCGAAGGATCTAATACATGTTATCAAAGTCTATCCCAATTTACTTTCAGAATGATACTCACACTAAGCTATTGGTTATCGGACGTAACAATTAGAGCACGACGCGTGCGCCGACTTACATGTGGTCCCTTTTAAATAATTACCCAGTAGCAGATGATACGGATTAGGCTAGGAAAAAAATTACCCCGATATGTCCCTACCCCTGTAATCGAAATGTGGGTCGAACTTATCTTCAATATGTAATATATTTAGCAGTAACACAAAACGTCTCATTAAAGAGAATATGTGCTCGTTAAAAATTCAATAAGCAAATTAATATGATTAGATCTTATTAAATTATATTATAAAATACTAATTATCAGCTATGCTATTATGTTAAAAACCAGCCGGTAACTCAACGACAAGTATAGCACTGCTGCAGAATCGAACAATGAATAAAAGTTTTATTACCTTTTGCAGTAGATTTTTTAATGTAATAATTTTGTCCGGTACATATAACTTTAATAACCTGCCATAAATCCAGATTAAACATTTGTTGAAAAAACGAGGTTTTCTAAATTTTATGATAACACCAAGATAAATAATAATTTTGTTACCCTCCGATTCTTGATATTTGATCAAAAGGTTATTACATATATACCTCTAGAGATATATACACACATCAGCATTATATATACTAAACAGGTTAATTTTCTTCAGTCAATTTTGAACTTAACTATCAAGTTTTTGAATAATATAATGTCTTGAATATTTAATTGGAGAAACTTAGCTTTTTGCCGTGATTTCTAGAAATAAATAGAACACGTGTATCTCCAATAACAATTTCAAAGTTCTAATAATATTAAGTACTACATCAGGGCAACTTAAGTGGTGTCTATTCATTCTGCTTACAACTCGTGCTCTATCTGTATAAAGCGACCCCAGATCTCTCAGAAGTCATCCATCAAAGTATTGGCCCATAGTCTGCCAAAGAATGATAAAACTACTAAACAATCGGCAGCTAGCCCGTATATATATATAATTTACCTACTCGTTTATCTCAGAAGAATCCTCTAAAACAAGTAAGGTTTTTTAACCTTAAATTCTAAAAATTTCGCCAGTCTCGAGAGCATGGCATTTGAACCCAAAACTTTTACAATCCGAGCGACTGCTCTAACCAATCCAGCTATAGGAAATCTAGTGGGATTGACAAATTTATTAAGCAGTTGATATTTTCGCTGGTAGTGGTCGTATTTTCATCAATATCCAGGTAATTCATTTGAAAAATAAATATTGATATCTATAGTATTGTGAATGCAAATATATATCATAACTTTTTTTTAAATTGTAATAGGCCTTTTGGCCATATAAAAATAACCATTGAAATAAAGAAATAAGATCGCTTCTTTGTAAGACAACAATACTTACATTACATTGCTCAGATTCCAAGATGACTACTAAAGATCTCATATTATGCAAATCCGAAACAACGAAGGTTTCCACAACACCCAAAACAAATATTGACAAAAAACAGAACATTGTATCGAAATATAGAAACCTTATTTTCTATAATGACCCCGGAACGGGATGAGCATCTGGGGCCTTAGATACGGCGACGCCTGGTTATTGGTGTGATTACTCGGCTACTTCATCATCATCATTAGCCTTTTTACGTCCCCACTGCAGGGGCTCAGGCCTTCCTTATGGATGGTTAAGGAGGATGGGCCATGACCCTCCACGCTGGCCCAATGCGGATTGGAGCGTATTAACGACTCAAATGCAGCCGGGAACAACGGTTTAACGTACCTTCCGAATCATGGAGAAGCTCGAGCTAATAATTTTTTGGTCACCCATCCCGTAACCGACCCTTGCAAAAGTTGCTTAACAACAACGATCACTTATCCACTACGCCACCGAGCTTCTTAGACTATAATATTACTTATATTACAAACAAGTTTGTGTTCTATGTGAAGATCTTCAGCATTTCGAATAGTAGTGAAGGCATAATAGACCCCTTATTAAATAATACACGCGAGTGCCACGCAAAGCAAAACATTTATAATAATAAAATCACCAATTTCCTATATGAAATGACGCGTGAAAACGAAACATTTCATTACGAAGGCGAGCATTAAGCGATAATGCAACGGTCCAAATATGTCCAAAACTCACGCGACCAAATGAATCGTTCCTCAAACATTGGGGAATGAACACCGCATATTATTCTAATCGCTCTGGCTGTTTGTTTGTCCGCACCGAACAAACACGGGGTCGCAGATTATGCTGTTACTCTAATTGAAGCCAGTATTTGGGTCGAAACAACCCTTGGGCCGTGATGATGCATGTTGATTAGTATTGCTGGCTCTGCGTCAAGACTTGCATTAATTAGATTGCTTGGTTAATCCACAGGAGAAGTGGACTCGGGATTATTGGCTATGCTAATATTGTGCTTTCGATTTTAACTTTATCAAATCTTACTTCAATTTCTTGTGACAGAAAGAAGATTGATGTCTTTTTATTCTCTTAGGTTCTTATCAGCATGGTCATTGAATATTTTGATCTACTATAAAATAAGGAAGCTAGAGCTATGCCTTGTTTTGTGAACGTAAGATAAATG